GAGTGGGAGCTCTGTAGCATTTCTAGTTATATATTTAGATGACATATTGTTAATTGGAAATGATATAGAATTTCTGGATAGCATAAAGGGATACTTGAATAAAAGTTTTTCAATGAAAGACCTTGGTGAAGCTGCTTATATATTGGGCATCAAGATCTATAGAGATAGATCAAGACGCTTAATAGGACTTTCACAAAGCACATACCTTGACAAAATTTTGAAAAAGTTCAAAATGGATCAGGCAAAGAAAGGATTCTTGCCTGTGCTACAAGGTGTGAAGTTGAGTCAAACTCAATGCCCGACCATAGCAGAAGATAGAGAGAAAATGAAAGATGTTCCCTATGCTTCAGCCATAGGCTCTATCATGTATGCAATGCTGTGTACCAGACCTGACGTATGCTTAGCAATAAGCTTAGCAAGAAGGTACCAAAGTAATCCAGGAGTGGATCACTGGACAGCGGTCAAGAACATCCTGAAATACCTGAAAAGGACTAAGGATATGTTTCTCGTATATGGAGGTGACAAAGAGCTAGTCGTAAGAGGTTACGTCGATGCAAGCTTTGACATTGATCCGGACGATTCTAAATCGCAAACCGGATACGTGTTTATATTAAACGGTGGAGCTGTAAGTTGGTGCAGTTCTAAACAAAGCGTCGTGGCGGGATCTACATGTGAAGCGGAGTACATAGCTACTTCTGAAGCAGCGAATGAAGGAGTCTGGATGAAGGAGTTCATTTCCGATCTAGGTGTCATACCTAGTGCATCGGGACCAATGAAGATCTTCTGTGACAATACTGGTGCAATTGCCTTGGCAAAGGAATCCAGATTTCACAAGAGGACCAAGCACATCAAGAGACGCTTCAATTCCATTCGGGACCAAGTCCAGGTGGGAGACATAGAAATTTGCAAGATACATACGGATCTGAATGTTGCAGACCCGTTGACTAAGCCTCTCTCACGAGCAAAACATGATCAGCACCAAGACTCCATGGGTGTTAGAATCATTACTATGTAATCTAGATTATTGACTCTAGTGCAAGTGGGAGACTGAAGAAAATATGCCCTAGAGGCAATAATAAAGTTATTATTTATTTCCTCATATCATGATAAATGTTTATTATTCATGCTAGAATTGTATTAACCGGAAACATGATACATGTGTGAATACATAGACAAATATATAGTCACTAGTATGCCTCTACTTGGCTAGCTCATTAATCAAAGATGGTTATGTTTCCTAACCATAGACATGTGTTGTCATTTGATTAATGGGATCACATCATTAGGAGAATGATGTGATTGACATGACCCATCCCGTTAGCTTAGCACTTGATCGTTTAGTACTATGCTATTGCTTTCTTCATGACTTATACATGTTCCTGTAACTATGAGAATTATGCAACTCCCGTTTACCGGAGGAACACTTTGGGTACTACCAAACGTCACAACGTAACTGGGTGATTATAAAGGAGTACTACAGGTGTCTCCAAAGGTACATGTTGAGTTGGTGTATTTCGAGATTAGGTTTTGTCACTCCGATTGTCGGAGAGGTATCTCTGGGCCCTCTCGGTAATACTCATCACTTAAGCCTTGCAAGCATTATAACTAATAAGTTAGTTATGAGATGACGTATTACAGAACGAGTAAAGAGACTTGCCGGTAACGAGATTGAACTAGGTATTGGATACCGACGATCAAATCTCGGGCAAGTAACATACCGATGACAAAGGGAACAACGTATGTTGTTATGCGGTTTGACCGATAAAGATCTTCGTAGAATATGTAGGAACCAATATGGGCATCCAGGTCCCGCTATTGGTTATTGACCGAGAATGGTTTTAGGTCATGTCTACATAGTTCTCGAACCCGTAGGGTCCGCACGCTTACCGTTTCGATGACAGTTTTATTATGAGTTTATAAGTTTTGATGTACCGAAGTTTGTTCGGAGTCCCGGATGTGATCACGGACATGACGAGGAGTCTCGGAATGGTCGAGACATAAAGATTGATATATTGGAAGCCTATGTTTGGACATCGGAATGGTTCCGGGTGAAATCGGCATTTTACCGGAGTACCGGGAGGTTACCGGAACCCCCCGGGGGGTTAATGGGCCTACATGGGCCAAGAGGGAGAAGAGGGAAGGAGCTAGGAGGGGGCCGCGCGCCCCTCCCCCTCCTAGTCCGAATAGGACAAGGGAAGGGGGGTGGCGCCCCCCCTTTCCTTCCCCTCTTCCTCCTCTTTCCCCCCCTTCTCCTAATCCTACTAGGAAAGAGGGAGTCCTACTCCCACCGGGAGTAGGACTCCCCCCTTGGCGCGCCCTCTAGGCCGGCCGCCTCCTCCCCCTGGCTCCTTTATATACGGGGCGGGGGGCACCCCAAAGACACACAAGTTGATCTACAGATCGTTCCTTAGCCGTGTGCGGTGCCCCCTTCCACCATATTCCACCTCGGTCATATCGTCGCGGAGTTTAGGCGAAGCCCTGCGCCGGTAGAACATCATCATCGTCACCACGCCGTCGTGCTGACGGAACTCATCTCCGGAGCCTTTGCTGGATCGGAGGGCCGGAGATCGTCATCGAGCTGAACGTGTGCTGAACTCGGAGGCCCCGTACGTTCGGTGCTTGGATCGGTCGGATCGTGAAGACGTACGACTACATCAACCGCGTTGTGCTAACGCTTCCGCTTACGGTCTACGAGGGTACGTGGACGAACACTCTCCCCTCTCGTTGCTATATCATCACCATGATCTTGCGTGTGCGTAGGATTTTTTTTGAAATTACTACGTTCCTCAACAGTGATAAGTTTCCAAAAAAGGTTTGGCGTAAACACAATGAACCTAGTGTTAGGAATGTGCTTCATTTCTACAACAAGATGCTGGGCTGCACAAGATCGGACCTTGACAAGTAAGTACATTCATAAGGCTTGTCCCTGTCTTAAATCGACGTACGGCCACACAACGGCATAACAAATAAATGTCGGGTCATTGTTCACAGGAAATGGTTCAAACTCATGACATAAACCTTGCTCATTTTTCAGGCACTGAATTTCAAATTCAGTTTGTGCAGCATTGGACTCGTGACAAGCCATCGCTTAAATTCATCAAAGGACTGAATAACTTCTACGGCATGTGTAACAAGATGCGTGAAGTTTGTGCTGGGGGTTCTCTAATCTGTTCTGATATGTGGCTAGGTGTGGGTACATCTTCAGCCACGGTCTCCCCCTCACAGCTGCCTTCGCCGGACATCTGCTCCCTGTAAGAAATTAAACATTTAGATTGAACATGTAAAGCATCGATTTGAAAAGATAGCTGTGGCCTGTGGGTCTAGCTTAAAAGGTTGCAGAAAAATTGTTCAGCAAGTTTTTGTATGCAGGGGGAAATCATTGATTGATCAGAATACTTGATTGACGTTGCTGCATGGGTTGATATTTGTGAATGAATTAGTTAGACCTGCTAGTGTACACCCTGAAAGAGGGTAAATGGTTAAATAATTGATTAGATCTGGCAGTGCTAAATAGATGGTCGAGCATGAGATCTTACTTCTAATCAATACCTTAATTATATTTGATAGAATACAGTTTTGCATACTGGCCGAAAAATGCATGAACAGCTGATTTGAGTAGAAAGAACCTTGATCTACCAAAACAATATAGCCAGAACATGAAGATCGGGTGGGGGCGATGTACCTAGTCAGCAGTGATTCCGACGAGCTGCCCGGAGGTGTTCTTCGCGGTCTGGCAGTAGCTGGTGTGTGAATCTTCAAGTTAGGAGATAATGAAGGGTTGAGGAGGTAGTGAATGGATACAGTGGTCGGTCAAGCATTGTACACCGGTTTTAAAAATCATTGGTGGACAACGGGCCGCTGATGAGACTTGAGCCGTAGCCCATAACTTGAACGGCCGTCTGAGCCGTGGGGGTCTAGACGCGACGGTGGCATTAAATGTAGCAGGTGCGTGGACCCTAGCCCAGAGATAGCTCAGATATACTAATCAAAATACATAGAAATATTCACAGACTGTTGCGAATCTTAGCACCATTGGACGACTGAGATATAGGGTGCATCTAAGCTCGAGCTTAGAATAGCACTTTCGGTTCATGTGATGGTTTCGAGGAAATTCGACAAATCCAGTGCACACGCTTGACCCTTTGAAAATTACTTTGACCACTAACTTCATCTCGTTGTTTCGCAAACTATCGAGTATATCTGTACCTCCCTCTTATATCATACTAAGTGGTTCATGTGGTGGTTTCGAGAAAATTCAACAATCCATCGCACACGCTTGACTGTTTGAAATTTGACCGCTAGCTTTGTCTCGTTGTTTCACATAACTTCCGTAAACTTCATCTTGTTGTTTCACAGAACTTCCGTGTTACACGTAGACGGATAGATCTATACCTATGTACTATACTGTAACTTTGTGCTACCAATTTATATGCACATCAGTTTTTGCCTGTATCCACTCAGACTGTACTGTAACTTTGTGCTCCCAAATTATATGCACATCAGTTTTTGCATGTATCCACTCAGACTGCCCAGTTGAGCCACAGATGCATGGAGACAAAAACCAACGAAAGTAACGAAACACATACCCAGCGTTGCTCTCATATGCTTTTTATTGTAAGACGCGAGGTGCATAGAGTAAGCAATTGAATCTGTCAGCACACAACCCGGTCTACTTTCAGCCCTTTATAAGAAGGGTGAAAACCCACTTCTGAAAGTTGAAAAAGTGACAGTGTTATACGAATAGAGGTCCACATCATGAATCTGAAACATTACACGAGTTGAATTATACAAAAAAAAAGGGTGACATGTGAACACAAACACCATAGCGACATGGACACTCGATTGTTGGTGCAATAACAAGTGATAAGCCTGTCAAATTTCACTTGAAAAATATAACCAACTGTGTGCCACAGATTGATCATATATTCTTGTTGGGGCATTACATGCATGTTCACATGTTATAGCAGAAGTACATTGGGCCGGAAGGTGGGTGTCGGTGCTCACAGAGCCCAGCCGTGCACTGCGTCGGGGAACTTGTAACGGGTGGAAGCCCCTCTGATCATTTTGAGCTCGCCTGTGTTGGCATCAAGTCTCATTTCGAGAGCCGACATGACAGCAACATTGCTCAGAGGAATGCACCAGTCATCCCATTCACGCCTAGTGTCATAGAACCTTGTAACGCAGAACTTGCCCTCACCAAGATAGGTGAGGTAAGAATGGGCCAAATGCCAACCCTCACCAACGTAAACATCAACATTGTCCCATACTTGCTTGTGCACCGGGGGCTCCGAGGCCTTAGCTCCAGCGATCATCTCAGCCGAGCACAGCTTGTTCAATCTCTTGGAGAATCCAAAGTAGATGCCATACTCAGGTATATATTGCACTCGGCCTTCAAAAGGCAGCGTCCAGCCACCTTCTTTGCACCATGTGGCAGTAGCGGCATCGAAGGTGTAGGTGCCTCTGCCCAATGTTGATATCCACATCTTCTCTTCATCCCCGGCTGCGTAACACTGTATGGTGTTATCACTCCTGAACGGCTCGTCAAAGAAGGGCGGCGAGGGGAGCAGATCCCACAGCCAATCCTCAAGCTCGTCGTCGAAACGCAGTGCCTCTAAACAGGGCTTGCCGTAGTTGTGTGGCAACATGTTGGTGATGTAGAGCTTGCCTCGTATTGCTGCCCAGGCAGGGTGGACGAACTTACAATGCCGCAGGTCAGGTCCACCAGATATACCCGAAGTCAAACTGTCATACAAGACTGTGCGCCGGTTCATGTTGACACTAACAATTTTGCTGCCGAGGAGGAAAAACTCTGTGTGATTGTTATTGTCCGTGTTAGCAGACTCAAAGAAGGCAGCTGGGCGTGGTAATCGAGTAGTGACTGCCATACTCGTGCTGCCACCACCAATACCCGCAAAGAGCGGCTTGGTATCAATGTTCCGCAGGGCGTAACCACCACCACCAGCCCCACCCTTGACATCGTGAACAATTAGATGGACAAACCTTCGGATCATGGAGCACATCTTCGTTCTGAATTTAATCTATCCCAACCTGATCTGCTTAGTGTTTCCCAGTCTTGTGGGGGAAGAGAGAAACAAGATAAATCAATATTGCGGCAGATTTATAATATTACAATATGCTGAAATTTCACAAGAACCCAAAGGACAGTAGTCGGAACCTAAAATTCGCCCAAATTTGGCAGCAACAGTGTGCGGAAGAAACTGTTCCAGGGAGAGGGTAAGAACTCACCAGGGCGACGGAAAACTGTCAGGTATGGTTTGGCACGGCGGCAGCTGTACAACGGCGATGGCGGAGACGACGAACGAGGCGGCGCCAACCTCAGAGATAAGAGATCTAGGCAAGGCGGTACCGCCGTGCTCGTCAGAGACGCTTTTGTACTTCTTGGCTGGCCGTGGTGGCCGGCAGCCAGCAGCCTCGCACGGCGGCGCACCTAGGAAGTCTCGGGGCGAGGGAGAAAAGGACAGGAGGCGGCGGCGGTATGGACAGGGAGAGTATAAGAAAGAGTAAAATGGAAGCGCGGTCCTAATTCTTTCTCAAAAGTGTCGACTGGGTTCTAATTCTTTCAAAATGCATATCTGGGTCCTAAATTTTTCTAAGTTGTTCACCCGAGGTCCTAATTTCGACTGTCCGCCGCTGACCAGCTCGCGTGGCGCTTTGACCGCTGCCACGTCGACTCGAGGGCCCACGAGGATAAGGGCAGGTTGTGTTGGAGATTGTCCCTGGTTCTTATTTGCTGCACCTGACAGCAGGACCAAAGCATGGGTTGTGAAGAAGTATGTGGGTGAGCATACATGTGAAAGAGAGTGGGCACTCAAGCAATTTACAGCAAGATATTTGGCTGGCAAGTATGTGGAAACATTTAGAGCAGATGAGAAGATGACACTGCAAAACTTTGGCAGACTTGTTCAATTGGACTACAACATGCAACCTACTAGAAGTAAGCTAGCTAGAGCAAGGAGGATTGCACTAAAGATAATTCATGGAGATGAACTTGAGCAGTATAATTTACTGTGGGACTTTGCAGCTGAAATCAGAAGATCAAATCCTGGCAGTACCATGCTTGTGCATGCAAACAATGGAAAGTTTGATAACTGCTACATGTCCTTAGATGCATGCAAAAGGGGTTTTCTGCTAGCTTGTAGGCCCATTATATGCATTGATGGGTGTCACATTAAGATGCTGCCAAATTTTAGTTCAATTTCATTGCAACAGTAAATCATCAACATCTGGATACACCAACAAGCATTGATCACTAGATACATCATACTAACACATCACTTCTTAAATCCTACATACATCACAACTACAATCAGTACAACAAGTGCACTGAGAATACTCCTACAGAGAAAAATGAGCTCATTCATCTTCTGCATTGCTTCTGCATATGCCACAATCTCGACAGTGCTATGCATTGCTCCTGCACAAGCATCTTGCACCTCTGTTTCTTCACTTGCAATGACACCAGCCGAATCTAAACTGCTCAATCCACGGCTGACATACCCAGCTCTCACCAAAAAATCAAAATAGTTGTCTGGTCCATCTTCCCAATAGTAATGTTGGCAAGGATTTGGTTGAATCTGATAGAAATTGAGCAAAAAAAATTCAGTCAAAAAGAAACACAGAAACATCAAATCGATTGGTTTGAAGAAGATCTTACATGGTGATTGGGGCACTTGTAGAAAGTCCTGCCAGGATTTGCCTTCGATTTTGACACAAGACGAATTGTAGATCGAATGCGGCAGCTAGGGCATGGTACCAACGGCAGCATACCCGCGGCAGCCGGCGATGAGATGGGCGGCGAGAAAAGGGCTAACGCCGGAGGTGGAGCAGGCGCTTGGGCAGTCTTCTTCCCGCGGTGCTTCACGGCAGACGAGCTAGCGGCGGCGGACATGGCGGCGACGGCGCGGCACCAGAGAGAGGGAGAGAGCAAGCAGAAGACTTAGGGACCGGGGAATGAAGAGAGGACAAACTCCAGGGGCCAAACTGCTTAAATTACCAACCTCCAACCGCGGGAACTATCCCGCGTGGGCCCTCGAGTCGACGTGGCAGCGGTCAAAGCGCCACGCGAGCTGGTTAGCGGCGGACAGTCGAAATTAGGACCTCGGATGAACAACTTAGAAAGATTTAGGACCCAGATGTGCATTTTGAAAGAATTAGGACCCAGTCGACACTTCTGGGAAAGAATTAGGACCGCCCTTGCATTTTACTCTATAAGAAACATACAGAAAATGGACTAGGGTTTGGGAGCACTCTTTTTTTCTTTTGAGACATGGGTATGGGAGCACTTGGATTTGGATTTTTGGTCTTTGGGCCGCCCTGAGTGTCTCTGTGTTTCATCAGTTTGTGGCCCATATGTACTCCACGGGCTTCAAGAAGCCTCCTCTGTTAGCTCAGACGAAGAGAGGTTTTAGAGCATTCCAAAAAAAACATGGTTGTCATTTCCGGCAAATCATATTTGACGCTGTAGGCGCCCGTTAATGTGTATTTTGCAAACGGGCGCCTGCAACACCCCCCACTGGGCTGGCTCATCTCCTGTTTCCTAAGCGCTAAAAGGTGCCCCCGAAGAGGAAAGGACATGAGGCGGCGGCGGTATGGACAGGGAGAGTATAAGAGACATACACAAGATGGACTAGGGTTTGGGAGCACTTCTTTTTTCTTTTGAAACATGGGTATGGGAGCACTTGGATTTGGATTTTTGGTCTTGGGCCGCCTGAGTGTCTCTGTGTTTCGTCAGTTTGTGGCCCATTTGTACTCCACAGGCTTCAGGAAGCCTTCTCTGTCAGCCCAGACGAAGAGAGGTTTTAGAGCAGCCCACAAAAAAACATGGTTGTCATATCCGGCAAATCCTATTTGGCGCTGCAGGCGCCTGTTAATGTGTATTTTGCAAACGGGCGCCTACAGCACCCCCCACTGGGCCGCCCCATCTCCTGTTTCCTAAGTGCTAAAAAGGTGGCCCCGAAGAGGAAAGGTCAGGGGGCGGCGGCGGTATGGACAGGGAGAGTATAAGAAACATACACAAGATGGACTAGGGTTTGGGAGCACTTTTTTTTTTCTTTTGAGACATGGGTATGGGAGCACTTGGATTTGGATTTTTGGTCTTGGGCCGCCTGAGTGTCTCTGTGTTTCGTCAGTTTGTGGCCCATCTGTACTCCATGGGCTTCAGGAAGCCTTCTCCGTCAGCCTAGACGAAGAGAGGTTTTAGAGCAGCCCACAAAAAAACATGGTTGTCATATCCGGCAAATCCTATTTGGCGTTGTAGGCGCCCGTTAATGTGTATTTTGCAAATGGGCGCCTGCAGCGCCCCCCGCTGGGCCGGCCCATCTCCTTTTCCTAAGCACTAAAAAGGTGTCCCCGAAGAGGAAAGGACAGGAGGCGGCGGCGGTATGGACAGGGAGAGTATAAGAAACATACACAAGATGGACTAGGGTTCGGGAGCACTCTTTTTTTTTCTTTTGAGAGATGGGTATGGAGCACTTGGATTTGGATTTTTGGTCTTGGGCCGCCTGAGTGTCTCTGTGTTTCGTCAGTTTGTGGCCGATCTGTACTCCACGGGCTTTAGGAAGCCTTCTCCGTCAGCCCAGAGAAGAGAGGTTTTAGAGTAGCCCACAAAAAAACGTGGTTGTCATATCCGGCAAATCCTATTTGGCGCTGCAGGCGTCCGTTAATGTGTATTTTGCAAACGGGCGCCTGCAGCGCCCCCCGATGGGCCGGCCCATCTCCTATTTCCTAAGCGCTAAAAAGGTGTCCCCGAAGAGGAAAGGACAGGAGGCGGCGGCTGTATGGACAGGGAGAGTATAAGAAACATACACAAGATGGACTAGGGGTTTGGAGCACTCTTTTTTTCTTTTGAGACATGGGTATGGGAGCATTTGGATTTGGATTTTTGGTCTTGGGCTGCCTGAGTGTCTCTGTGTTTCGTCAGTTTGTGGCCCATCTGTACTCCACAGGCTTCAGGAAGCCTTCTCCGTCAGCCCAGACGAAGAGAGGTTTTAGAGCAGCCCACAAAAAAACATGGTTGTCATATCCGGCAAATCCTATTTGGCGCTGCAGGCGCCCATTAATGTGTATTTTGCAAACGGGCGCCTGCAGCACCCCCCTGGGCCGGCCCATCTCCTATTTCCTAAGCGCTAAAAAGGTGTCCCCGAAGAGGAAAGGACATGAGGCGGCGGCTGTATGGACACGGAGAGTATAAGAAACATACACAAGATGGACTAGGGTTTTGGAGCACTCTTTTTTCTTTTGAGACATGGGTATGGGAGCACTTCGATTTGGATTTTTGGTCTTGCGCTGCCTGAGTGTCTCTCTGCTTCGTCAGTTTGTGGCCCATCTGTACTCCACGGGCTTCAGGAAGCCTTCTCCGTCAGCCCAGACGAAGAGAGGTTTTAGAACAGCCCACAAAAAACATGGTTGTCATATCTGCCAAATCCTATTTGGAGCTGCAGGAGCCCGTTAATGTGTATTTTGCAAACGGGCGCCTGTAGCGCCCCCGCTGGGCCGGCCCATCTCCTATTTCCTAAGCCCTAAAAGGTGTCCCTGAAGAGGATCGAACCAGCGACTTCCTTGTCGAGCAAAGCGTCGCCAACCATCACGCCAACCTGTTGCTCTGTCAACTTACTTCTTTTCCCCCTTTTTCTTGTCTCATATTTCCTCTTTCCTCTTTTGGTTTTTCTTTTTTCCTTTTTCCTTTTTCCTTTTTTGTTTTTCCTGGTTTGATATTTTTGCTTGAAATTCATGAACTTTTTTCTTCAAAATCGATGAACATTTTTCAAATTTGATGAACTTTTTTCAGTTTCGATGAACTTTTTTCAAATCCGATGAACTTTTTTCCAAATTCGATGAACTTTTTCAAATTTGATGAACTTTTCTTAAAAGATTATTAAATTTTTTCAATTTCGATGGACTTTTTTCAAATCCAATGAACTTTTTTCAAATTTGATGAACTTTTTCAAACTTGATGAACTTTTCTTAAAAAAAATTCCAATTTCGATAAACTTTTTTTCAA